TTTCCTCCAGGTAGAGCTTTTTGTTTATTGTTATTTCTCCGTGAAACGGGCAGCCAGGAGCATCGCTGGCAGGATGATGCATCTCCGCCCGGGCGTTCTGGGGGGTAGGAATCGGATCTGCCAGCGGAAAAGCTGGAAATGTTCTTGGGAACCAGCAATGTCAGTCACCTTTCTCAGGACAATTTTTGTTCGTTTATAATAACCGGGCCCTCTCAGAATCTTCCAGCAGCTGAAAGGCTCTAAACTTGGTGTTTTCCTTGCTTCCAGGCTCCGGAGGCCCTCGCTATGGATTACCTCTCCAAGCCCGGGCTCCTCAGCGTCATCGCCGGAGTCGCGTGCGGCGTTTGCCTGGGATGGGGCATTCGCGGGAAGCTCCTCAGACAGCCCAAGGGCAGAGCGGCCGCAGCCGCCAGCGACGCGGGGAGCGAAGCCGACGTCATGGGAGAGTCCGGGGAGCTCAAGATGGTGCTGATCGTCCGGAACGATCTGAAGATGGGGAAGGGCAAAGTGGCCGCCCAGTGTTCGCACGCTGCCGTGTCTGCCTACAAGCAGGTTCAGAGGAGGAATCCCGAGCTGCTCAAGCAGTGGGAGTACTGCGGGCAGCCCAAGGTGGTGCTCAAGGCTCCTGACGAAGAGACGCTCGTGCAGCTCCTCACAGATGCTAAACAGCGAGGGCTGACCGTGAGCTTGATACAAGATGCAGGTCGTACTCAGATAGCGCCAGGCTCCCGGACGGTGCTTGGAATTGGACCAGGACCAGCTGATATAATAGATAAAGTTTCTGGTCATCTAAAACTCTTCTAGACTAGGGACCAAGGAAATGTGATTGTAACAGTCTACTTGAATATCAAACCAGTAAAACTCAAGTTTACTTTTTTTTTTTCCCCCAAATGCTCAGTATAAATAAAAGTATTCTTTTTTGAGTAAGGCCCCTTGGTGTGAAATATGTTTTCTAATGTTAATATTAATGCTGTAAGTTTCTCTCAGTTCTGTATTGCTTTCTGAAGTGGAAAGAAAACACTAGGCCTGAAGTTGAGAAAAGTAGAAGTGTTAGGATGTTGCTACTTGTGATAAGAAAGAAGCTGACACTTTTGTATTGTGTAATCAATTAAGGATCTTAAACTGGTTCCCTGGCTGATTAAAAATATTAGAGGAGCATAAGTGATTTTCTTATAAGCTAATAAGGCTCTCCCTCACTGCCTTGCATAATGACTTTTTTGAAGGGATGCATTCTTTAACTGAGAAAAGGTTAGCTGCTAAAGCAGGCAAGAATGGTGCGGTGTAATTGAAGAGCCAGAGCTCACTTACTGCCTCCACAGAGGGATGCTAATAGGTTAAGTGATGCAATAGTGTGTAACCAGCATGAGACCCAACATGTTAGACTAGTTACCACCCGTGTTTAAGAACCAGTAAACAATTCCGAAGGGAAGGCATGAGCCCTAGCCGCTTTGGCTGTGTGGATAGAGCTGCTGGAGTGGCAGAGAAGCACAAGCAGGTCGGTATTTCCATTTAGATGAGGGTATGAGGAGTTATCCATACGTACAAAGAGCTTCTTATGGAGGAACCAACTTGCAGGAACTGCTGCAGTGCTCAAGTGGCAGGAGCACAAACTACAAGTGTGGAGCCCCCCAAACATGCAGAAAGGGAAGTTGTCTGCAAAGCTGGAACCTGCCACTGAAGAAGGCTCCTGATTGCAAAAGCTTCTCTAACCACTACCCCACTATAGACAGTCCTGTAATATGTTACACTCAAATATGACAGTATTCATAGACAAACATTTAAGTCAATTTTATTTGAAGCTAAATATATTTAAGGCAGCTTACACACCTAGAACATGATCTCACTTTACCTGACACACCCTACTACAATCCTAATTTATCACCTGGTCAGAGATGCCAGAGCTGACCACAATGCAGCCAACTATTGAAAAGTGCCTCTTTTTTTTCCCCTCCTTTCTTTCTTCTCTGGCATAATCTTTCTCTAGAAAAAGCAATACATATTTGCCTTGAATTATCCCCTCAGTGCAAGACACCACTACTGTTTTCTCCATTTCTGCTGTTCTCATGGCCCCTCATCCCCTTGAATATATGCACTTGGATGCCTCACAGTACTAGCACTGTAATACTTGGCTTGAGGTGGAAGGTCCTTTTTGAAGACAGTAAAGTGAAGCTACCACTATGCAGCATGTCCACAGTCCAGTAATTTATTTTTAAATTGCGTAATTTCAAATTGCACAAACAAAACTGAACAGCAATATGCTTGAATTCTCTCTTCTGTACACTCAAAACAGTGATCTAAAACACCACAATATCCAACATACACAAACCTCAGGGCAGGGTTAGTAAATACACAGATTGGAATCATGGTGCTCTGTTCCTGAATGGAATGTCCCACAAAAGCACAGGATACAGCACAACATAAGGTCATCTGTTACATATGGAGTGAGCAAAAAGACACTAGCATTTTCTATATGCATAAGTGGAGAAACCTGCATAGGTTAAGGAAAAACTTTACTCATTTGAAGTCAGGCAAGGTTGTCTGTACGCATTTTAAGTTTTGAGCTATGCAATCCAACCAGGGAAGGATATGCTGATTAGTGTTGTCTCTTGTCAGCAGTCTTGCAAGGTCAAATACAAGTATCTTCGCTTTAGCTTTCTCCGAATATACAGTGAGACTTAAATGCATTTAGAATAGACAGTACATACTGTAAGCTGCTCACATACAATGAACTTAAGATTCAATATTAGAGTTTAACACTATAGAGTGCAAATCAGAATCTTCACAATAGACTTAATGGTAATAAGCAGTCCTGCAAAAGCCCACTCGAACAAAGTTGTTTAAACTATTCCCCTTTTAAAGTAAAGTCTAAATGACATGGAATGTGGAAAAAAAGATTTAACATAAGTGATTCAAATAGTTTGCGCTAGAAAAAACAGTCCTTCATGAAATAAAGGTTACAAGAACACGAGGCAGAACTCTTGCTTTTCCCTGTTATGAGTTAAAGCGGGGAGGGACGGTGGAGTTTCAGTAAGAAAATATGCTAGCTCCAGACTGACTTGCACCTTACATGCTGTACCCAAAGCCAGGCTGAGGTTGCCCATATGGAGGTGCAGTGTAGCCATAGCTGAAAGGTGCTTGGGGAGGAACTGCAACACTGGGTCCTGCTGTCAACATTAGTTGTGGCTGACCTGGAAGACAGAACAATTCCAGCTTTATTCTTAGATACCAACAATTCAGTCAGCAGAATTCCTACAGCTTCCCCATAGGCATTTGTACATTCAACAATTACTCCCTTGTGACCTGCCTTAGGATCCTTGGCAAAACATGCACTTCCCAGAAGACAGGATCTCAAAAGCAGAAAGCGTGCCTGCAGAGTACACTATCAAGTACACAGATATTAAGATTCTTGAAACTATGGACAGCTTTAGAATATTGAGGAATAGAAACAAGGGGAAAGCTTGCTTTTCCTCAGATATTGGGCCAGAGTCCTGTGTTAGTGTGCCTTATGCAGACTCTAACTCCAGTCCTAAAGCACAGCAACTCTTTCTAAAGCTACAGTGGGATAGTTCATTCCAGAGAACAGGTCTTTGGCAAATAACTGATTTTCAGCTATTTAAGATACTTCAGTAAAACAGTCAAAATAGTTTGCACAGCATATTAGGTCAAGACATAGTATCTAGACTAGTACTTTCAGCCTTAGCATTGCAACTCAACCGTAGTAACTGTATTAAGTACACAGAGACAGCTGTCAGCTGTTAGACTTTTGCTTTGGAGACAGTGTAGATGTGATTACTTATCAGAATATTCAGTCAGGCCTCAAAGTCATCACAGCCAGCAGCTTTATGGAAGAATTCCACAATTACTGCACAGTTTTTGGGGTGTGGTGACTACAGAGATGCCAGCTGTACACTGTAAGCTTCCCTACCACTGGCTGCAAGTCATACTTGTAATTCTTACTAGAAGAAAAAAATAAGCTGGATAGGAAGGAAACACCCAGGAGGGAAATGATGTATATGGAAAAAGATCCAATATGCACACTTCCAGTAAGCCTAGAAGGGCTTTCCTTCAGAAAGGTTTTCCTTGGTGTAGTCTTAACACTTGTATTCCATATCCAACCTTAGCAGGAGGATCAGAGCTGTGCTTTATTTCATGTTTTACGGTATGCCCTTAAGATTTATTTTCATATGAAAATAGCTCCCACTCCCAGGGGGCTTTCTTGGGCAAAACCCATGTAAACTATCACTTGTCCATAAAAGCCAAATGTGTTTCTGATGACACATGAACTAAGATATTACCATAAACAATAGGTTGTGTTTCTGTAGCTTGCTCCTCTTCCTTTCTCAAGGACTCTGATGCATCCAGTTTATCCACCTGGAAGCAAGACCAACAGTTAAGACAATTCTTCCAAAATAAGAAACTTACTCATGGCAGAAAAGTGGAAAAGCCTTAGTGGTATGTTAACACCCATAAAGAAAAAGGAGACCATTTACAAGTTAAGATCAATTCAAGTAGCAATGTTGATACTGGTGCAGTCAAGATTGTCCATTTCCTGAAAAGAAATCCCCAATGGAGGGATTTGTGGAACATCTTTGAAAGCTCACTCCAGGCTGAAGAGTTTTGAAGATCCCATACTGGACTAGAGCTACTTTGAGACCAGTAGCTCATCAGTTCAGAGTCACTGTTGCTTCAACTTCTCCAAATCAACAGTTTTAAGATATGAACTCAGATTGAAGCCAAATATCAGTTGGAGAGCTTTGGTTTTGAAGCAATTTCCAAAATAAAATCCAGACCTGGAGAAGTTTCCTTGAATAGAACATTGAGGCAGAGTAATCTGAAGTTTGCGTTGTACTCAGCAGACTGCAATAGCATCTGACATGTCACTTGAGCCTCAAGATTGCACTTTCCAAACCCATTCACTCATGCAATTTAAGTTCAAATGCAGAGAATGCATGTGTATAAGACTTGCTTTTTTTTCTCCCCCACTCTATAACTGTGTGGCAGTCAGCCTAAACCCACAAAAACTCAACTTGTTTTCAAGTCTAACACACAGTAACAGGACAAGACTACTCATCTTCACTCTGTTGCACAGCAAATGCAATTTTGCTTTATTAGCCCACCCCTACAGAAAGGCAAGAGAAGAGACTCGTTCTGTAGTGTAGTATCATCACTAAAACAAATCCATAGAAGCTCATCGTTCTTACAGCCTGAGTCCAGCCCTGAAACTAAATCACAACAATTAGGTATTGATATTCTACCTGAGAGATTAGATTTAGTATAAAGCCAGAGACAATCATGCCAATTACTTTGTAAGACAGTAAGATGACTCACAAACCTGATTAGTCTTTGATGTCATTTGTGCCCTTTATAAGGTAAGTTTGAAGACAGATTTCCTGTACTTACACAGGGTCAGCATTTACTTATTTACCTATACAAACCTCTATGAGTTGAACAGTTTTCAGCCTCCCTGTGCTATGTTAGTACTGCCTGCAGATGTTTGCTAGCAACTTTTCTTTGTTTAGTTGCGAGTTAAATGATTATGTTCTGTACACCTGTTAATTTGTAACCTCAGAGAGGCATAAATCCAGGAAGCAGCCCAAGTCCTGAGCTTTGGGAGTTCAATCATTTTCTGGGCTTCCAGGGCAAGCCTTGGAGCTGCCTCACACCAGTATCTGGCTGCTGCTGTCATTATTCACAGGACTCTGTGTATGCCAGTGCTTTAAACACTCATTCCCGGGCACTCTGCCGAGAACTGCCCTTTAGCTCAAATAACACACTGATCACTGAGGCACAAGTTTAGAGATGCAGATCCAAGGAGAACGTGCAGAGTTTGCTACTAAGCA